TCTGCCTTTCTACAAAGTAATTCAGATGGGAAGTAGTTCCAGAGGTGTGTGGGTGTGGAGTGATTGACAGGTGTGGGATGATTAGCAAGGGAGTGTATATTTGCACATGGACGGGGATTGGCTGAAAGAACAGGAGTGGGAAGTAAATGGTTTGGAATGGTGTGAGGAAGAGTAAGGATGAAGAAGAGACTGAGATTTGAGGAGCCCAGGTTGGAAAAGACAGCTGAGAGAGACCTGTCTCATGAGTTGAGGGGAAAACATATTAAGAGATATCTATATCTGTATATCTGGAATTGAACAGGTGATAGTAACTGTGTTTGATGATAGTGAGGAGTCAACCATAAGAACAGAACACGATAGAACTGTAAGTAATCAAGTAATCTTTGTTTCTTTTTTGTAACTGCCTACAGCAGGGGTAGGCAACCTTTTTGAGCCAGGGGCCGGGTTGCTGTCCCTCAGACAATTGGGGGGGCCGAAGCACCAAATATATATATGTAAATATATATATTTAAAAAATTAAACAATTAAAAAAATATGTATGCACACTCTCTCAGCCCCAGAAAAGCCATGACAAAACCCCTGTGGAGATTTTGCCAAGAAAACCCCAAGAACAAGTAATAACAACAATAATCAATATCATCATGGCGGGGGTCAGCGGTGGCGGGGGGCGGTGGCAGGACCGGCCTGGGGCCAGTCCAAAGGCCTCGGGGATGCCGCATCCGGCCCCCAGGCCTTAGGTTGCCTACCCCTGGCCTACAGTTTGGTCACTGTTGGATGAAATATTAGAGTGCAAGCGCTAAAGGTAGCTTGAGAGAACTTCAACCCAATAACCGTGTGAGCTGGATCTTGTAAAGGTCCTGACAGCAGAAATGACAAAAGGAGGAGAGATTCTGAAGGCTTTTCTGTTTGCTTACCTAGGAGCAACTGGTGAAAGGGCAAGGGAACATCAGGAGAAATGATAAATGGTAGGATCACCACAAAGAACAATCAAATATTGTTATGTTGCAGTGCATCTGATGGTGGACCTCTGATCTTAACTCCTCTCCTTGCCATTGTCTATGTCTCACTCTCTGTCATCAGTTCAGAGACCGGAGGTCAGCTTGTACATGGTGCTTTCTGGCGGAGCATGAGAAGGTTACTTGGTTCTTTTACTACTCCTCCTACAATCCCTCAGCTGGCTTTCTCATCCTCTGCGACTGCTTATTTTGGTTTTAGAGGTGAGCTCAAGTGTGAACCCCTTAAATGAGAGAGCAAAATATTTTTTGCACCCTTTCTCCCTCCTACAATTATACGGGAGCCTACTCTTGTTCAGTTCCTTGATCTGTTTTGGCACCCAGCATGGTGTAGTGGTTGGCATGCTGGACTAGCACTTTCGGAGACTCAGGTTCAAAACTCGGCTGGGTGACCTTAACAACAGTTGTTCCACCTTACCAAAATATTGAGGATAAACCAATTCGGGGACAGTCAGATGCATGCTGCATAAATAGAAGTTTATTCGAGAGTAGAATTTAGAAGGCCAAACAATGAATGGTATGTCAGTTTAGCATGTGAAATATTTCCATAGGCATTCAAGTCTCCTAATCTAATCTCTCGTTACATTACCTTTTAAAAAAACTATTACTTTTCTAAACTATATATTTTCTGTTTTATGTTTGCAAATCTTGGGAGGACTGTAGGTACTTGGAATGACTTGCCAGAGTAAAAAAACCTTGCTCTTGATTTGCTAGATCTGAGTTCAAGAATTTTCTGAAAAGAGTGTAAACTCTGGAAGGATTGATGAGTGGTTAGGTAAGGCTAGACTATTGTGGTTGAGGCCCTGGAGCTTTTCCAAAACTGGGGCTCCATTTTTGCAGGCATGTGGACTCTCCCACTGGAGGGTTGCCTGTGCAAAGGGGTGGATCAGTGCTGGCCATGCAGCTGGGCAAAGAGCAGTCTTCCAGGACCAAAGACAGCAACCCCTTTCAGCTCCCATGGCAACCCCTTTCAGCTCCCATGGCAAAGGAAGTTGGCAAGGGAAGTACCAGGTACTCTGGTCATGTCTGTGATCCAGTTGGCATGATGAAGGCCAGAGTGTCAGACACTAGCCCAGCATGCCTGCCTCCAACCTCTCCATTCACTCCATATCTGGGAAATGGGGCCAGAGTGGATGGTAAACTCTCAATCAACCTTTGGGGGAGGGAGAGATCTCATTTTCCTCTCTTCTCAGGAGACAAGCATTCCTGTCTTGACAGTATCACTCTGTAAGAAGTGTATGTGTCTCTGGGCATCTGTGCATATGTACAGTTGTCCCTCCATACCCACAGCATTTTTATCCACAGATTCAACCATCCACGGCTTGAAAATATTTTTTTAAAAAAGAATTCCATAAGAAAACCTTGATTTTGCCATTTTATACAAGGGACACCATTTTACTATTCCATTGTGTTTAATGGGACTTGGGCGTCCACAGATTTTGATATCCATGGGGTGTGTGTATCCTGAACCCAAACCCCAGAACATCAAGGACTGCAAATCCTATATGATCTGTGAGAAAGACTAGGAGAATGTACCAGTCAGTGGTGTTTCTTTTCATGGTTTGGCTGAATTGATTTGTCTCTGTAACTTACACCTTGTCTGTGCCTGGAGGATATGTTGTAGTTCATGCAGTGATATCCTTTTGCTATAGAATTCCCTTACTTAGATAGAATAAAGCTTTTCTTTAAGGTACTCTACACCAGGGGTAGGCAACCTGTCCCCTTTAAGGGCCGAGGGACTTCAGCTCCCAGAATCCCAGGAGCTATGGGCCAACATGGGACTATTGGCCAACATGGCTGAGGCTTCTGGGAGCTGAAGTCCCTCAGCCCTTAAAGGGGAAAGGTTGCCTACCCCTGCTCTACACAGTGGTTCGAGTGATGGACTACAACTCTGGTGACCAAGATTCGATTCCCAGCTCGGCCATGAAACCCACTGGGTGTCCTTGAGCAAGTCTCTCTCAACACTCTCAGTTTGCAATGGCAAACCTCCTAATAACAAATCTTGCCAATAAAGCCCCATGATAGGTTCGCCTTAGGGTTGTCATAAATTTGAAATGACTTGAAGGCACCCCTCACCCTTTTTGTACTCCTTTTTTACATGCCTTAGCTGGGCCCAGTTGTTCCCTACAGTTGGCAAGGGAAGTACCAGTGGGATTCCCGGCAGTGTCCTGATGCGTTTCTAAGGTGGGATAGGTCAGTCATCAGGTGGTGAGAGCGGGTTCTTTAGCTAAAAGATGGTCTCAAGGGGTCCCATTCAGTGCAGGAAAGAGAAGGGAGGGGGACCCCAGAAAGAAACCTCACATGATGGTAGTGGTTTTTGGACCTTGGAGGGTGCGTGTGTGGCTTTGAGTACAAGGAAAAGTGTCAAAACAAAACAAGCATACATAGCATTCTAGTTTTAAACTGCCAAATATATACTTACTCTAGTTTTTAAGGAAATCCTTTTAAATGATGTAACAAGTATGTGGAGAAGCATAGCACAATTCTGTAAGAGAGTAGTGTTTGCTGCCTGACATTTGCCAGAAAGGTTTTAGATGTAATAAGCAGATTGACAATGCTTTTGCTGGTGTGGTTATGTGGACGTGGGAAGTATTTAAATAGGTTCAGACCTCCTGGCCCAGACCTATATTGCAAACCTCATGATAAAATAAGCATATTTTTAAAATGAAACGTGAATTTTCCAACAAATGTCAAATTTACAGAGCTTTAGTGTGTTCTTATTTGTACACTTTGGACTTAAGTATTTTTCTTGGGATTTTTACTGTGAGATTATTATATTGAATTTACAGTTCTCCTTCACATAGGCATATAATCCCAGACCATTTATCTATACTCCCTTGCTTGTTATCTTTGTCACTCTCAAGCTGCAGTTTGCTTGACTCCCAGCTGTGCTATATGATATATTGTTGTTGATGTGGACATCTGTTTCAAGTAAGTAAATACAGATTGCCATGTGAAATGGGTTTCTGTCAAGAAGTGATTTGATCATCTGTATTGCTGCATGTATGCTTTTCCTTCTGTCATGTATTTTCATGTTTAATGCATTTTGAGCTCTCCGTCTAATAGAAAGGCTTTCCTGTATTTTCTACAGAGTTGAATTGCTTTATGTATTAATAATACTTTATGTAAGAACTATTTCCCTGTAATACTAAGATTCATGGCAAGGATATTTTCATAGGAACTTTATTTCTTGCCTGGTTTTTTTTTCTTCCATGGATTCCAGATTATTTCAAGGTTTTTAAAAATGTCCTTGCAAGTATTTAAATAACCGTGATTTTTAATGAGCATTTTACTTTTATTTTTAAATTTTAAATGTGCTTGTTTTTACTGGGGGGGGGGGGAACCATAGCCTTTAATATCTCCAAAACTGTGTGATGAAGAAGTTGGGTGAGGTATATTTATGTAAACACTTTTAATCTCCATTTTTGCCTGATTACAGGATTATTGTGCAGGTGCTCATGTGTGCAGTACACTAAAAAAGAATAAAAATGAAGACAAATAATTATGGCTGTTTCCTGTTCAGCACAGAAGCCTGAATTAAGTCCCTTTCCCCATTCACAGCTGTGCAGGGACTTCAGTTTATTTCAAAACATTTTTAGAAAGCCAGATGCCCTTTGAAAACTATTTTGAAAGTAACCCTGCAAGAGCTGGAAAAGGTTTTGTTTAAAATCATTGCTTGTACTAGAAGCCAGTACAAACAAACACAATTATCAGAATGAGTTACCTGATCCTTAAGCAGTAATGAGAGCACCAGAAATGCTCTCTACCTTTTAACAAAGTAGTGGAAAAAGTAGTGCTCCATTGAGACAGTAGTAAAATTAACATCTTTGCACCATGCAATTGGGGTGGTGGACATGAAATGACAAACATCATCCTGAAATAGAACAAAGCATGGCATAGTTATTTGTGTTGAAGCAGGCCTGAAGTGGTCAGCGCCTTGCTAAAAATGTCCTCCCTAGATCCCACCATACTGGATGGTAATAACATAGTTTCCGATACTCCATTTTTGGGCAGGGTATTGGAATGTCTGTGGACTTTGGCAAGGATGATCTGGCAATGCCTATTTCTTTTTAGTCCAGCAAAACATTTGATGGATGTACTAGGTCAAGGTTGCCAAACAACTACCAGGAAGCAGCACTAGCGGTGGTTAACACTGGCGGAGGATCTCTCCAAGACAACGCTTGTTAGTACTGTGCAGAGGGAGGCGGCGCCAAATCCGCTCTTGAAAATCTTTAACCATGGAAACCTTATGATGAGACAATGCAAAATGAAACAAGAGTTAAGGACAGGATGCATACAACAAAATAATAGGTCAGTTATGAGGAGTTATGTCGTTAACAGCACAGCTGGACTCAGATCGAAAGGAAATCAAGCTGTGGATGTGATCATATATATGCCCAAGGAAAATTTGAAGCTGCACCACACAAATTATAGAAACACAGAATGTAAGAAGGATTAATCACAGGAAGCTAGACATAATAAAACAAGAAATTGAACACATAAACATCACAGTACATGGGATGAGTGATAGTTGGAAAATTTGGTGTAGGATCAAGACATGAAGCAGGAGAGTGACTGATGGATTTCTGCGAGGCTGACAATTTGTTCATTGCGAACACATTCTTCAATTATCTTTAAATTCTGTCAGAATGTTCCACAGGTTATGTTTTAGTGTAGTGGTTGGTTTAGTTTTCTTCTTTAGCTTTACTCTAATTTTTGATATGTGGCCAATATAGAAAACAGATAGATTACATAATTGGAAGCGGAAGATGGAGAAGCTCCATTCTCACTGCAAAATTGAGATCATGGCACAGACTGTGTATTATTAATATCAAAAATTAGAGTAAAGCGAAAGATGTTGTGTTGTGTTCCCCATGCTGTTTAACAGATGCATGTCAGTGGTGTCCTGGAGTGCATTTGCACAGTTAAAACACTTATGCATCAGCTGTGCCTGTTCCTAGAAATGTCAGATCTGGCCACAGTGACACAAGTCTTCGTTACATACTGTTTGGATTATTACAATGTGCTCTCCATGAGGCTGCCTCTGAAGAGGCCAGAAATGACAGCTGGTCCAAAGAGCTGCCGCCACATAGTTGACTGGGGCTGGCAACAAGGAGTACACAACTCTCTTGTTGCAATAGCTTCATTAGCTGCCAGCCTGTTTCTGTGCAAAATTCTAAGTGCTGGTTATGATTTATAAAGCCCTATATGGTTGAGGTGATCTCAAGGACCATATTCTCTCACATGAACCTGCCAGTGTAGGCCTTTCTCTCTGTCCCATCACTCTCATAGGTACATCTGGTGGAAACAGACGAGAGGGGCTTCTCAGTGGTTGCTCCCAGGCTCTGGAACTCCTTCCCCAGGGTAGTTAGATTGGGACTCTCCTTGCACT